CCGCGCTCTTACGCGGAGGCGATAGAGGGTCCCTACTCCTCTCAGTGGCAGGCAGCTATGGATGCAGAGATGGCTTCCTGGAAGTCCACAGGCACCTACGTTGACGCTGTTCCCCCTCCTGGGGCAAACATCGTCAGTGGCATGTGGATTTTCAGGGTGAAGCGGCCGCCGGGTTCTCCGCCTGTCTTCAAGGCGCGTTACGTGGCTCGTGGCTTCAGTCAGCGGCAGGGGGTTGACTACTTTCAGACCTTCTCCCCCACCCCGAAGATGACCACTCTTCGGGTTCTGCTACACGTTGCTGCTCACCGTGACTACGAGCTGCACTCTCTCGACTTCAGCACAGCTTTCTTGCAGGGCAGCCTGCACGAGGAGATCTGGCTGCGTCGCCCACCTGGCTTCACTGGGTCTTTCCCTCCTGGTACCCAGTGGAGTCTCCGGCGTCCAGTCTACGGTCTCCGCCAGGCGCCACGTGAGTGGCACGACACACTGAGGACTACGCTCCCGGCACTTGGGTTTGCTCCTTCCACTGCCGACCCGTCGCTGTTTCTGCGCACCGACACCTCTCTACCGCCGTTCTACATCCTCGTGTACGTCGACGACTTGGTCTTTGCCACAGCTGACACTGCTGGACTCGCCTACGTGAAGTCCGAGCTGCAGAAGAGACACACGTGCACTGACCTGGGTGAACTGCGCAGCTACCTTGGCTTGCAGATCACCCGGGACAGAGCACGCCGCACCATTACCCTGACTCAGTCACACATGGTGCAGCAGGTCCTTCAGCGCTTCGGTTTCACGTACTCCTCGCCTCAGGCCACTCCTCTGCCTACTCGCCACTCGCTCTCAGCTCTGCCTTCGGATGAGTCCGTAGAGTCGAGTGGCCCGTTTGCAGAGCTTGTTGGCTGCCTCATGTACCTGATGACCTGCACACGACCTGACCTCGCATACCCTCTTAGCATTCTCGCACGCTTTGTTGCTCCTGGGAGACACCGACCAGAGCACATGGCTGCAGCGAAGAGGGTGTTGCGCTACTTGTGCAGTACGTCGGGCATGGGGCTAGTGCTTGGAGGGCGCAGTCCAGTGGTCCTCACTGGGCACCCAGATGCTTCTTGGGCTGACGACCAGGCTACGCAGCGGTCGTCACAGGGTTACACCTTCAGCCTTGGTTCCGGCTCTGTCTCGTGGCGGGCTACCCGCTCGTCTTCTGTTCTCGGCTCCAGTTGTGAGGCTGAGATCTACGCTGGGGCTATGGCTGCACAGGAGTTACGCTGGCTCACCTACCTGCTGACCGACCTTGGAGAGCAGCCTCGTTCTCCTCCAGTCCTGTACGTAGACAACAAGGCCATGCTGGCCTTGTGTCGAGAGCAGCGACTGGAGCACAGAACGAAGCACATTGCTCTTCGCTACTTTCTTGCTCGTGAGCTACAGCAGCGTGGACAGCTGCGACTTGCGTACGTGGCCTCTGAGGCCAACACTGCTGATGTCTTCACCAAGGCACTTGCGCCTTGTGATCATCAGCGTTGCTGCACGCAGTTGGGTCTTGTGCCTGTCTTGCCTCACTTGCTCTCCTCTTGACCTTGCTTGTACTTTCGCATAGATATACTCTTGCTCTTGTATATCTCTATATATGATCTTGCATGTGAACTGGCCTTGTGGCCTTTGAACTTGTGCTCGGAATGCGTGGTGACTTTGTGATCCACCCTGAGCTTTGCTTTGCTTTGCTTGACCGGTCTTGTGACCCCTTGTTCTCCCCCACTTTGCCTATGGGGGTGTGTCAGAACTTATAGCTTACTTGTTTCTGTAGGCTATAGTGGGGTATCCCATAGGGGGTACAACCCAATTAGGGTTTCCTATTTGTACTCACTTCGTTCATAGTCATTCCACTTCTCGTTCGTACTTTCTCAGTATTAGAGAGTCTGATTAGTCGACATTGGCGACCGCCGGATTCTGGAACGGATCACACGGTCGCTACGGCGGGACTTTTACCACGCGCCAATCACATAAAGCGGCGCATCCCGTAAGGGCGGATTTAGGGAAAGGCCTGGTGGAAGTGAACCGGGTAGCCATAAATCAGTGTCTCATCTCGAATAACCTTAGAAATAGGGGCAATATTCTCGAAAATCGACGGCCTACGGCAGTCCCGTTCATGCCTAGTAATCTTGCTCATGCAGTCGCCCGGTGGACTCGTTCTATAACGAAAAGGCCCTAGGGGAACGAGGAGTAACACCATGTCCCATGAAGGCCACGATTAGCGTAGCAGAAAGGAAGTTACAATGTCAACCTCCACCAATGAAACGTCTCGTTCAAAATCTCCCGCTCTCTTACCTTGCACACGCGCCGCGCTCAAATGTTCCGTCGCAATCTCTACGCCATAGCCGCACCCACGCATTCAGATCGCCGCATAAGCGCCATCACAGTTAGGGTTTCCGCATTTGGAAAACCGTGACGCATTGGCGGCATTCGCCCTATCATTTACCCCCCCCCCCCCCCCCCCCATCGAGCTCCCCCTATCATTTCCCTCCCCATCGAACTCTCCCATACCGTGCTCCCCACATAGAGCTCCCACGATCGTTCTCCGCCCATCGAACTCCCCCCACCAGCATCCTCCCATCGACCTCCCCCCATCATTCTCCCCCCATAGAGCTCCCCCCGTCCACCCTCTCATTTCCCCCCGTGCTCCCTCTCAGCCCCCCTACTACTCACCATCATTTCCCGCCTTGCTCTCTCTCATTTCCCCCTATCATGGTCCCCCCTTCTAGCTCCCCCTATCATGCTCCCCCAATCGACCAGCAGCTAGCACCCCCCCCACCCATCGAACTCCCCCCTACCACTCTCCCCCCATAGAGCTCCCCCTATCATGCTTCCCCATCGAGCTCCCCCTATCATATCCCCCCCTTTTCCCTCACACTGCCCCACCTAGCCCTCCTCATTTCTAACCTTGCTCCATCTCTGCCCGCCCCCTTCTCGCCCTCATTTCCCCCCTACTCCCTCTCATTAACCCCACTGCTCACCTTAATTTCCCCCCCTGATCCTTAACACTACCCCATTTCTCCACCTCATTACCACCCTAGCCGCCTCTCACTTCCACCCGTCCACCCTCTCATTTCCCCCCGTGCTCCCTCTCAGCCCCCCCACTACTCAACATCGTTTCCCCCCTTGCTCTCTCTCATTTCCCCCTCTTCTCACTCTCATTATGGCCCTTCTCCCTTCCTATTCCCCCTTTGCTCCCCGTCATTCCCCCCCCTGCTCCGTCTCTCTTCCATCCATGCTCCCCCTCACTTCCACCCTTGCTCACCCTCATTTCCCCCCTTGCGCCCTCTTATTCTCCCCCTTGCCGCCCCTCGTCTCCCACCTTTCTACCAGGCAGTTCCCCCCCCCTGCTCACACTGACATACCCCCCCCCCCCTTCTCCATCTCACTTACCCCCACGATCATGGTATTACCAACCTTGATCCCTAACATTTCCCCCCTTGCTCCTAAGAGCCCCCCCCCCCCTTCTCACTCCCATTTTCCCCCTTGCCCACAATCAGGTTCCCCCTTCTCCTGCAAAAGCACCCGCACCCCTCTCATCTCCCTCCATCACCCCATCATTTCTCTCCCTTCTCCCCCTCATTTTCCCCACCGTGCTCCACTTCTTCCCCCTCCCAGCCTTGGCATAGCCCCATTGCCTTCCCGTCCTTCTCATCTCCCCTCCGTCACAGGGTGGTTTCCTTGTAAAATACTGGGCCCCACTCCCTCTCTTCCATTCTCCCATCCATTCTCCCTCCCATGACATGCGTCTCTCATTCTCCCACCCTCGATCTCCCTCAATCATCCCCCCCATTTGCGACCAGGGTGCGATGGCGTCTCATACCAGCACTAGCTCCGAACCCCAGGATGTGATGGGTCGGGCAGTACGCGAAATTGCTCTTGGTCATCGAACGCCACAATTGTCAATTTCGAGACATCTCCAGGAGCCAATTGCTCTCTTGCGTAGTGGGGCTACGCTTCTATTTGACGGGAAGCGGATAACATCTTGTGGGGACTTGATCTATTTGTACACGCTGGCAGCACCGCGCCTCACCAAACGGCTTATGGCGATAGCGGCCACTAAAGGTACGTTAGTTATGTTTAGCCGCGCCATGTCTGCACTGTGGCTCGCGGGCATGGACACATCACGCAATTGCCGGTCCAGTACTCACCACCAGCTGTTTCCCTCACAATAATCCAGGAACGGATGGACCAGTGGCACTGGAGATTGCACGCAAGCGTCTTTGTGCACATGGCCGGGAGTTGCAGTTTGGTGGTGAGGACGTGGTGGGCCGCGCCGGGGATCTCCTGTCCCGAACACCAGGCGCGATTGACCCCGTCACCTATGGTTTTGCGGATTGTTTTTTCAACAGCGAAGGGGTCCTTCAAAACGTCACCGGTTTTAACCATGGAGGGCATCGCCGTGGTGACAAATACAAGCATCTCAAGGAAACGGGTGAGGATGTGTGAAAAGTGATTGCGAGCATATGGTAAGCTGTGGTGTAACCTTTGCCCATCCGTAGTCTCCTTTGCCCATCTCCTGTCTCCTTTTCCCATCCCCTGTCTCCTCTGCCCATCCCCTGGCCCCTTTGCCCATCTGCTGTCTCCTTTGCCCACCCGCTGGAACCTTTGCCCATCCGTTGTCTCCTTTGCCTATCCGCTGTCTTCTTCGCCCATTCTCTGTCTCCTTTGCCCATCCCCTGGCTCCTTTGCCCATCCGCTGTCTCCTTTGCTCATCCGCTTTCTCATTTGCCCATCCGCTGGAACCCTTGCCCATTTGTTGTCTCCTTTGCCAATCCGTTGTCTCCTTTGCCCATCCCCTGTCTCCTTTGCACCTCCCCTGTCTCCTTTGCCCATCCCCTGTCTCCCTTGCCCATTCGCTGTCTCCTTTGCCCATCCCCTGTCTCCATTTGTGACTATGAAATGTCGATTGTCCCCTATAAACCCCCCTTTCGTTTCAAACAGGGGAACTGCCTGAAGGGCTCGATTCCGCAATGGAGGGGCAACTTGCTCGCGATTTAGAAGAAGTGGTGCTCGAGCTCGAGGAGGACATGGTGCTGCTGCCTGAAGGAGAGATCAACGTCGTACGCGCCGCTACCCCTATCCCTGAGGCGGTCCATGAGAGCTCCCACGCTCAAGGGCAATCGACGAGTGGACTTGGGGTGGTTGAGGGGTCGCTCAATAGCCCAACTCCCCCGGAATCTGAGGCGATTGGGCAAGGGGGAATGAGAGGGGGGCGTGGCTGCGTTGGGATTGGATTGGAGAGCATTCCAGAGAGTCAGCCTGAGGATGACATTCCTCCACCCCCTGGGATCGTGCCGGGCGCATGCACGTCGGGGTTCATCACCCCGAATGCCAGGTGGGCATTGTTTTCACCCACTGCGCTCCCGCGTTCTCAGGGTTACTACTTGTAACCCACCGCCCCCCCCCCCCCCAACCCCCCACCCCCCCACCCCTCCACCCCCCCACCCTCCTCCCCCCTCCTCTCCCCCTCGGTCCCCCTCTTCCGTCCTCCTCCCGGCTCCGCCCTCCCCCCTCCCAATTCACAGGGGGACGGAGGGAGACCAAGGAGCGGAGAAAAGGAGAGGAGTGGGAGGTGATGCATCGTTGTATGGCGTTGAAGCAGGGGCAGGCGGGGAACCGATCGGGGAAGGTGTTTCGAGATGACGCTGTAGGAGCAGGGAAAGGGGGTGAGGGTCTGGATTTGGGGCCGGAGAAGGGTGAGGGAGGAGAGGGGAGGAAGCAGAGGGGTCTGGTCGGCTGAAGGAAGATAGAGGCTGATTAGACTTTGGAAAGCGGGGTTGGAGGGGAGAGGAGGGGTGGGGGTGAGATGTGAGGTGGGGCCAATCAAAGGAGTGGATGATGGGGAGGATGCTCATGAAGAGGGGGCTGATGAGGAGGCATCGGAGTATGGTATAGACCCTTCTGGGCTTGAGAGCAGTGTGGGTTTCTCGCAAGGGAGAAGTGGTGGCGTCGCTGGGAGTAGTGGAAACGGGAAATGGTCATATGTCGGGTGCAAGCGTAGGGATGTGCGAGCACTATTGGGTTGACAGGAAGGAGCGGGGAAGAGAAAGTAGGGTGGCAGACGGAAGGAGCACTGGACACTGAGGGGAGCCGAGTGTTGGCAGTGTGAAGCGCATGGAGGCTCACACCCTACACGGTGGCGTTCCAATGGAGGGCCGCATCCGCACTCCGCCCATATGCGAACGCTATGTGTTTCTTAGTCTCGACTGTTGAGTAGGCAATATGTTGTCCCGAGCAGGGATAGTGTAACAGTAGGGATTGCTTTGTGGTGTTTTGGACGAGCGCCACTCCCACTGACTACAGGGCCCTTGACTGGCATAGTCTTCATTTGCTACGTCTGCAACCATCAGCGTCGCGCTTATGATTTCAACTGTGTGCGTCCCTTCAAGTGAAGCGAATAAATAACTGTACTTTGCCACTTGATTGCAACTTTGGAACTCCCACGGTTTCCATACCAATCAATGCCTTACGCATTGATGTATCAATGGATGATCAATGATCGCCGGTTACAGATCCACTGCAAGCAAACGCACACTGCCAATGCCACAGTTGTGATCACAGTGCTACAAACAATGGTAGTATTACAGAGCTATACATGAACTTCCACAACCTCGCTCCCCCTTCCTCCTGCTTCATCCTCCTCTTCCTATTACTATACTCCCCTCCTCTTCAGCCTCCCTCTCTTCTTCCCTCAGTGCCAATACACGTAGAATGAGAGTGGTGGGGACGCGAATGCTTGTCATGGCGCAAGGCCAAGGTGTCGCTGAGGGCAAGGCGGGTTGAGCGGAGGACATAATCCGGGCAGGACAGAGAAGGGTCACGGGTGGAGAGTGAGAGGGAGGACATTGTGAGCTGTAGGATATTGGAGTTTAGCCGTGACAGTGCTTTAGAGAGGACAGCGTGTGCGGTGAGTGATCAAATGGTCAGAGGGGCAGTGGTGTGTGAGAGTGGAGTGGACAGAGGGTGCAGGAGATATGGCATGAGCAAATACAGAGGTTGCAAGGTGCACACTTGGCCACATACCTTCCCCATCATCGTCTCCCTCAGCCACCGCTTGAGAGGCTAGACCGTCTGCGCGTGGCCTCCCCCTGGAGACCGCCCATCTGCCCTCTGTCACCACCCAATCTCCTGAACTTGTCCCTATTTCCTCTCCCTCCCCCTCTACTGCCGCGTGTCGCCTTCGCAACGTTAGAAACGACTCTACAAGCATTCGAGTAAGTACCATAACCCCGCGCCATACATCCCCTACGTCAACAAATCGTTGAAGTCTTGGAGGCGACGGTGACTCGCCGGAATGATCAAGTGGTACCAAGTATGGTAAGTCCTGTGCTGGGCGCGGGGTGCATAGCGAGATTGAGCACAGGTGTGTTCTAGCGCACGAAGAAGAGAGACCTCACCAAGGACCTGGAAGTTGCGTACCAGACACATCCCACTCTCCTCCCATATCCACCGCGCGCGCTCATGCTACATCCACCCGCGCCCACTCACTGCTCATTCCACCGCGCCCACTGTTACCACACTCCCCCGACGCCCACTCCCTTACCTCACTGCCGCGCCCACTCACTGCTCATTCCACCGCGCCCACTGTTACCACACTCCCCCCACGCCCACTCCCTTACCTCACTGCCGCGCCCACTCACTGCTCATTTCCCCGAGCCGCCACCCCTGCAACCCCCCCCCCCCTCACCTCATCACTGTCGCTGCTCATTCACGTACACGTCGCCGTCCAGTGCCATGAGTAGAGTAGGAGGGGGAAGGGGTAGCAGGGGGAATGGAGGATGACATGGGTAGCGGGGGGGAGAGAGGATGCCATGTGTTGATAGGGGAATAGAGGATGACATGGGTATTAGGGGGGAGAGAGGATGTCATGTGTTGATAGGGGGAATAGAGGATGCCCAGGGTAGCATAGGAGGGTGGATGGGGAGTAGATGGGGATTGGACGGAAGGAAGGACGAGGTAGAGTGGGGGAGGGGAGTGGGTATGTGCGGGTGAAAGGGAGGGTGTAAGTGGGGGAAGCTAAGTGTTGGCGTTGGGGAAAGGGTGGGTTATTGTGTGGGAAAGGTACGGAGTGAGTGGGATATTGGACGGGGAGGAATGGGGGAATGGACGGGTGGAAGTGTTCCTAAGGACACGGGGGGGAGTCGGGGAAAGAACGAGGAGGGTGAGGGAATGGGCGTGGGGGAGTGGGGTTAAGGTTGGAGGCAGTGGGGGACTGGACGCGGGGGAGAGGGGGCTGGGGCGGGTGTTTGTCGGGGAAGGAAATGGGAGCGAGAGAGAGGGTAATGGGGCAGGGGTTGGTAGCGTGCGCAGAAACAAAGTGAGCCGGAGGGGGAGGAGAGTGAGAAGGGGAGACAGAGTGAGCCGGAGAGATCGAGGTGTGTGAGGGTGATACTGGCGCTTCTAACCACTTCAGGTCGCAGGGCGGGGAGCAGGCGTCGGAAGGCGAGGAGCCTTCCGGCAGAGGCGCTGGTGATGCTGCATAACCCACTCTCACAGCCGGCCAAAGTGCACCAGCGACTGCGGGAGAAGGGGGGGAGGTGGGGGTGGAAAAGAGATGGTGGGAGTGGGATAAAGGGGAGCATCGGTGCAGGAGGCGTTAGCGCAAGTGAATCAGAGATGGGAGAATGACCAGGGTAGCTGTGAGAAAGGAGGACGGCGCAGGGTAGCACAGTGAACGTAAGGCCCTTACCTTACGGGGAGGACTAGCGAAGTGGTATAGAGGGGTTGGAGTGGGGGAAGGGGAGGACTGGCGTAGGGGAGAAGGGAAGGGTAAGGGGGTAAGGGAACTGAACCGAGGAGGAAAAGGAGGAGGTGTATTCGAGGGAGAGCAGATGGGAGTTGAAGGCAGGTGAAGGGAACGAAATGGTGGCAAGCGAAGGGAACCAATAGGGGAGAACGTTGGACAGAATGAGCAAGGGGTGGAGGTGGAGGTAAAGAAGGGCATGCATGGGAGGAGTGGACGAGGCAGAGGGATTAGCAAAAGGGGAAACAAAGAGAGCAGGGTGGAGAAGGGAGTGCGCAAAGGGAAAATGAGAGGTGTTGGAGGTGGGAAAGGGGTGAGCGAAGGGGAATGGGAATGGAGAGTGAAGAGGGGGGTGAGATCCCCAAAGTACAGGGGAAAAGGGTGTGAGCAGAAGGGGAGGGAGTGAGCAAGGAGCAAGGGAGTGTGCAGGGCAATATTAGGCCGAGAAAGTGGGGAAAATAGTCCCAGGAGGGGGAAAATGGGTGAGACGGGGGGGAAAGAGAGTGAGCAGGGGGAATGGGAGTGAGGGGCTCGGAATCCCGTGAGCAGGGGGGGAGAGAGTGAGAATGGGAGTGAAGGCGACAGGAGGGGGAAGTGTAGAGCAACGACGTGGTGAAAGGGATGGTTGACGAGAGGGCAAGGGAGAGTTGGCGTGGAGGAACGGGTTGGCACCTCGGGGAGGAAGGGTCAGCGTGGGGGAAAGGGAGGGTGGTAATGGGGGAAGAGGAGGGGGTGAGTGTGGGAAAGGGACCATTAACGTTGGCGCGTGAGAGAGAGTTGGCGTGGGGGAGATGGAAGGGTGGCACGGGGGAATGGAGGATTAGCGTGGGGGAAAGGAAGGATTAGCGTGAGGGGAAGGGAGGATTAGCGTGAGGGGAAGGGAGGATTAGCGTGAGGGAAAGGAATGTTTATGTGGAGAAGCTGGGCGAGGGCGAGTGGGGGTAATGACGGGGGGGAGTGGGGGAAAGGACCGGGGCAGTGGGGGAATGGACGGGTGCGAGTGGGGGATAGGGCGGGGGGGAGTGGCGGAAAGGACGCGGAGGAGTGGGGGATTGGGCGGGTGGTAGTGAGGGAAAGGGAGGATGAGCGGGGAGAAATGGCAAGGTGGCGTCGGGTGCAGGGTCACAGTGGTGTCGGAGAGGGAAGCGTTAGCGCAAATGAACCAACCAACAACTTGAGGACGAGTTTGTGGGGGAATGGGGGGGAGAAGGCGAAGAGAATGAGTAGGGGAGACAGACAGAGAGAGCCGGGGGCTAGCGTGGAAGCTGGGGAAACAGGGTGAGCCGGGGAAGAGAGGGCGACTGGAGAATGAGCAGGGCGATGGGAGGGGGGAGCGAGGGCGATGGGAGAGGGAAGTGAAGGCGACGGGAGAGTTCGGTGAAGACGATGGGAGGGAAAGGGAAGGCGACGAGAGGGAAAAGGGAAGGCGACGGGAGGGCAAAGGGAAGGCGACGGGAGGGAAAAGGGAAGGCGACGGGAGGGGAAAGGGAAGGCGACGAGAGGGAAATGGGTAGGCGACGAGAGGGAAAAGGGAAGAGCGACTCGAGGGAAAAGGAAGAGCGACGGTCCGGGAAAAGGGAAGGGCGACGCGAGGGAAAAGGGAAGAGCAACGGGAGGGGGGAGTGAAGGCGACGGGATGGGGATGTGAAGGCGACGGGAGGGGGACGGGACGAGCATCTCTTATTCGCAGCTGTCACGTGACGCACGTACGGGCGTTGCCGGCTCGTGCAGTGTGTCGCGATAGAAATTGATGCCGTCGAGCAGCTTTGTGTATGCTATAACTATCCCTCGCCGTTTTTGGGATTTGACGGATGGGGCTTTGTCCTTGCGCTAGGCCCAATTTCCTAGCTACCTGTAGTAGGCGCAGTCACCCTATACTACGGCCCTGTTCGGCAGCACTTCAGGAGCACTAAAAACAGGTCATCTTGGCCGTTGGGAGCCTGAAAAGTGTTCATGTTGGCCGTTGAGAAAATGTTAACGGGAATGGAGTGTTGGCC